GGCACATGCACACACACACACACAAACACACACACACATACATGGGTCATAAATTGGGTGAAAATTTACCCTGATGCCATATTATCTTTGATAACAACTCCTGAGATGTCTGTTCCCTCAGTCAATTCATAAATGTGGCTCAGATTTGTATTAAATTTGGTTGTTGTGGCAATGAAAAGTCAGCAGAATCCAAAAGAATAATAGAAAATTAATAATCAAAAAAGTCGTACATTAAAGGCCCAATATCCTACGCTTGTCGTGCATTTTGTTTTTTTCTCCTTTAGGTTCACTTATATTTGTGAGGTTTTGAATGAATGTTGAATTAATGTTTATAATTTTTTACCTTACCATTTTTCAACCTCCCTTATCTTTTAGAACTTAACAGCTTGTTTTTGATACCCTCTTTTTAAGACAGAAATATGTAAATGACCTCTGTTCTGATTGGCTGCCCTGTATTGCACCTTATTCAAAAAGCTGACATACAACATCACATTGCAAAAACAGTTCAGTTTTTGGGCTGTTTTGTAGCTTAATTTCCACATACAGTCATCTGCAAAAATATGAACTGTTTTTGTGATGTCACAAAACCAAAACATTTAAATATTTCTGTCTATTAGTCATACTGAGGTTCAGCTCCACCCATTGATGCTGCAATTATAAGGTGTGTTTCAGCCTGGACTGTATAAGGCACTGCAGGGCAGCCAATCAGAACAGAGGTAATTTACATGTACCTGTCTAAAGGGCTGCCCTGCATATCGTCACTGTCCAAAGAAAAACATGTATCTCCAAAATAGTAACTTTACAAGAGAGGGCAAAAACGTTCTTTGCGTTTAATGTAAGTCATTGGAAAGAAATCTTTTTCTAAGCAATTATGGCTTTTTTATTGGTCCATTCATCATGAAATTTTCACAAATGTAAAGAATGGCTTTCAGACTCAAATGACATAGAAAGTGAAAATCACAAAAAATGGAGATACATGTTTTTATTTGGACAGCGATGATATGTAAATGTTTTGGTTTTTGTGACACAAAATGGGTTGTTTTGCAGCTTAATTTCCACATACAGTCATATGCAAAAATGTGAACAACAACATAGGAAATAATAATTTTGAAAATGTAAAAACAAATTGATGTTTTGTTGAGGTGGAAATAAGTTCATATACATCCTCTACAGGGAACAAAATTAAATATGGCATTTTTCTACAACTTTTAGTGCTCAATTTGTATTCATTTCTGAGTTTAACATATTAGATAAAAATAAAAAAAATAAAAAATAACCTTTGCACAGGGCACAATATATGCTTTATTTTTTCCAATACCTTAAAATTAGAAAATCAAAAGGTGCCCAAACATTTGCATACGACTGTATGGGCTGCATACACTAGGCAGTGAATGGTCTTCTTTGAAAGCTTACCAATGTTTACATTTTAAATCAAACGTTTTATTTGAAAAAAGTAAATTCACTCGACAAAGAGCCTTTAATTCAACATCATTTGCTGTAATGTCCCATTTAGTGAAATGTTGTACAGGCTTCATCTTATCAGTCTAATATCGGCCTGACAGTTGGGTCATGTTGAAAACTGAGGAGATTATTTCTCCCAGACAAAAGACCAGTGCTATTGCCCATGTCAGTGGTCCCAAAAGCTTCTTAGCATGAAGATGATTGTTAAATGGTAGAGTGAGCATCACACAGTTAAGATGATCTTAACACTAAGATACTTTTGGGAAACTTGGCACTGATTAGTTCGTTTCAGGGTGATTTTTTTTTTTTAATTTATATTTATTTTTTTGTACCAATGTATTCAAAAGTGTGGGTGCCCCTGGTAACATTACGTTTTTTTTTGGTTTTTTTTTCTAAGTGAAAATAAGCATATCCTCTACAGAGAACACAATACTGCACAGTTTAACGCACAATTACTATTTATTTGCTGAAGTTAAAATATTAAAAGAAAAAATAAAACACAGAATGTGGCCTGACTTTTTATTTTTCCAATACTTGAATAGAAATGAATAGAAATTGCTCACCAAAATTTTCATTTGTTTTCTTGCGATCTTGAGATATCTCAAGATATCTTGACATATTTATGCCATTATCATGACATAATGCATGTTATCTTGATAAAACAAAATTGGTTATGCCTCTATACTGATATAAATACCTCTGGAACTCAAGAAAACAACATTTATTCTGCTGTGATGGTGACATAAATATCACAAGAGCTTGAGAAAACAAATGAAAATTTTGGTGCACATCTCTTTTTCACAGAACAAAATGTAAAAAATAAGAGTAACAAAAAAAATGAATCCATCGCCCTCAATGGCTTCCATAGTTTCCTGTAGAGGATGTACAAACTTTTCACTCAGAAAATCAATAAAACATGTAATTTGACCAGGGGTGATTAAACGTTTGCTGTATCTTAGTTTCAGTTGTATTTTTGTAGAGACTTGTAGCCTGTAATATGTAGGATCTCTCTTCTCTCAGCATCCTTAAGGATTTTACAATACATTTCTTATCACAACCAAAAAATACTACTGTAGACCTAATGCTTATTAAACATAACTTTACTCTTGTATATTATTATTCTTAATTTTTTTAAACTCAATGTATCTTATATCCTTTTTGCGAATGTTTCATAGCAGTCTTTGTTTTAGTTTCAGCTTATTATAATAACCCTGCACACTGCCTGATGAAAGGTCATTTGGTAATTAAGTCACATGCATGAAGCATATACATCAACATTCACTGGACACGAAAGTGTTTTAAGCCTCAGTCTGTCCACAGCGCATTTCATTAGCTTCAAAGATTACGCTTGAGCACATCTTTTAAAAACAATAGAAGCCCTGGAACGTCACTAATGACCTTAATTATGTGTTTATGTAACCGATCACTTCATGCCTCTAAATGGTTATTGTCAGATCGTTTCTATGAAACATCTTGACCACTCATGGGCATGTAAAGTCATTTGATCTCTTCAACCACACTGAGCAGAAGGGAATAAGCCTCAAAAATCCTAAAGTCAATCTATACTCTTCTTAATGATGTTAATCTAGTGGCATGACTGAGCTGAAAGCAGCTGAAGAGGAATGCAGAGAAAAGGCTGGTCACTTTATGATGGCATGTCTATGTATTCATTGCAAAGAGGGCATTATTTGTAGACGTATATGAAACAAGAAGGGTTTATTGGTTTTTAGGAACAGAGCTGACAGGATCTATAGGCAGAACCCCATAGTGATATAGTTGTTCTGCTTGAAAGCACTGGGTTTAAAAGAATAATTTGTTAAAAAAAAAAATCAATTGTACACAATTTTCCACTCACCCCAGATGTGAGCCAAGAATCAAGCTTTTCTTTAGTTTACTGCTAGAGCTACCAGGCTAACATTGCAAACAAACACTCAAAAGTCGCCGAAATCTTTTTCATAAATGTATCCCAAAACTCTTGACCACATGCTCACTCATTTGTTGATGTGGTTTAGGACACAATATGACTTACTGTAAACTATATAAGTAGCTGGACGCTGCAGGCAGTCCTTTAGAAAACAAGTGTTTGTGTGAATTCCACTTCCCCCGCAGAATCTGACTCCCTTTCATGAGCACACACCTCATGCAGGCATATGGGCTCTAGATTTGCAATGTCAGTCGTTTCTATTTACAAATGTATATTTTCCACTTGAAAATGTAAGATTAATAGTTATTTATAAAAAGAAACAACACAAACTGCAAACATAATCTGTAGCATTCGTATGGCTGCATGAAGTGTTTGCACATGAAGAGAAGTCCGAATTCGGCACAACACCTGCTGTCTAAAATGGCTTCAAACAACATTCAGCTACACACTGAACTTCTGTTCATTTTTATAGTTCACAGTAAGTCATACTGTGTCCTACACCACATCGTCTGCAGGACCTTAACGGAGAGCTGGATGCAGTTTAAGAGAAGCTTGGATATGCATTTTTGGAAAGGATTTAGGTGACTATTGACTTCTAGTGTTAGTTAGCAGCATTAGACTCATATCTCCAGAGCTAAACTAAAGAAACCGTGGACACCAACCACATCTTGGCTGATCCACTACATCTGGGGTAAGTCAAAAATCCTTTAAAACTAAAACTAAAATTTTAAACTAAAAATTGTACTACATACTTCCACATAGGACAGAGAAAAGTACCAGATTTGATATGAAGTGCTAGACAAATCATGTAATAAATGTAATGAACTCTTCATATACATATGTTTTACATGTAAAGGGTAGATGTCAGAAAATATCAACAGTGAATTAATATAATTAAAATTTATTTTCTGAATATAAGCCCTGCAGATGCGTTAAAATAAGAAAAATTGAATACTTGAAAGAGTAAAGTTTATTTTTAAAACCAAAGCCCCCGTAATAGCCTAGAAACCATCCCAAGTATACCTACTGATTCAGACACAATTCAGTAATAGATATCTGCTGACTCGTGGAGAAACACAAGTGAGCAGAACCTCAAGATTGAAAATAAAAAAAAAGAAAACAACAGCTCAGAAATCTGGATATTCTGCCATATATTTACAACATAGAAGGAAAAGGAGCAATTAAAGTAATAACAAGCAACTACTGACTCAACATAACTGCAAAGCAGCCTGTTAATGTGACATGTTGACAGCACACACTGAGTATTTCAAAGGGATAGTATAAACATATTTGGGTCATTTGTGAGCATGTTTAATAAATTACATGATTCTCTCATCATACAACATGGTCATCGGTCCCTGAAGCAAGGTTAGTGGTCACTCAAATGACTTGGGGCAAAGTGATCTCCAAAGCAAGATGGAATACAATCAGTGTAGTCCTCTACATATAAAGAATATCATGCTATTGGAATAAGAAGACAAAATCTGCTGTGCAGTCATTATGTCTGGAGTACATGAGCATATAATACAAATCAATGGCAGCAAATATAATACTGATATATGCATATGGCCAATAATAAAAATGCAATATGATATGGGTCTTGAATATCTTGGAGCAAAACCTGAGACATTTTTTTTTTATTATGAGTACACACTGCGCCTCAAACCACTATTCCTTTAGTCTACAATCCATCTCAAAGGAACACTGATGGGAAAGGAATAAAAAGAGGTTAGGTGGAGTTTTTGGTCGAACAAACAGTGTCAATGGACCATACGACAGTTTACATAAGGCCTACATTAACATTATTAGACTCAAACATTCATCACAAGTGCTTGAGTCATAATCTCTCACTTAAAAAAATACACATGCTAAATGCTATACAACTACTGACAGAAATTAACCATTTGAAACAAAAGTCTATGTACGATACCTATAACGTTGCCCTATAATGCATATGTTGGCATTATGGAAGTCATTTGCAGGCCCTGATTTAAACATTCCACAACACTGGTAGTTAGGCTTTAATATGTTTTGAACCGTGATGAGTGCACAAGCATTACTTAGTTACATGTACTGAAGCACTTACACCAAATCTGTGAAAAGTGATCTATATCAACCCAAGGCAGATGGAAATCATGTCCCAAAAGCATGTCATAACATGACTATATACAAACAATGTCCATTCATACACATAATATGTTCATATCAGTAAAAGTCTAAAGTTTAACACAACTGCTGATGGAAAAAAAGCAATGCTGACACTTGTGAAACCACAACCCTAAATACAGAATATTGCATTTCTACCATCTGGTTTAATACAAAGGTCATTTTTCATTTGTTCTTGGTATTCTAATAATGGAGGCTTGTTGGCATGAATCATTTGGAGATGACCCTTAATCTAAGTCGCAGGTCTGTAGCAAATTCAGTGGAGCTGACCTCTCACGATTTTAACAGGTTAGTACAAGTTTAAAAAGGGTCCCATTTGCATCATGCGGAAGTCCCATGGCTTCAAAATTTCAGCAGTTATGTACAAAGAGTCTTTATAAAATTGATTCTGTGTTTGTGTGTGTGTAAGTAGATATGGATCTGAAGGTGTGTGTGATGAGAAAGCCCGTTTTAGTGCACATCGTCTTCCACTGGTACCCTTCACAGAAAAGCAAGGGTTTGCAAGTACAAAAACACGCTCACCACAATGGCGCACAAATACGTCCTCTGAAAAGAGAAAAAAAGTCTCATTTTACCTCTAAAATGGAAAAGATAATTGCAAAGGGAAACCACCCAGATCTGCGGCTTAATTCACATAGTAAAGCCAATAGATCAAATTGAAGAGGGAAAAAGCAGCGGGGAATATTATCCGTGACCATCGATCGATGGCGTTGACGTCTGTAAGGTCAGGGATTTTGATTTTGAGCTGGGATGAGCGCCGGCGCAGCCTGGCTTTCTTGGGCTGCGCGTTCCTGTCCAGGCTATGGCGGGCAGCTTCATGCCGCGGCCCACTCTGCTTCCGGTACTGGATCCCTGAGTTATCAAACACCATAGAAGTGGAGTTGCGGGCCTCGCTGACGCTGGTGGTCACCTCGTTTCCGGCCACCTCGTTGTGGATTTCCAGAGTGGTCAGGAGGATGTTCCCTTGGGAGTCCACCTGCAACCAGAGGAAAGTCAGTATGGCTATGGATTTTTTTAATTACTAATTATAATAGTGATAAAGCTTTTTGCCCAATTCATCACGCAGTATGTAATAATACGCACAGTCCATAGTACATAGTGTAAGTAAGCATAATAAGCATGTTCAATGTTGATATCCCAAACCATATCAGCACATGATATGATTTGCAAAAGCATCCTTTTGTACATTTTGAGGATGTGCGGATCATGAATTGAGGAGATTTACAACCACAGTTGTAATGATGAGTTAGAATGGAGACGCTCAAGTGACATACGGCAGGAAAAAGCTGTTTTTTGCTAAGAGCAAAGGTATAATGTCTAAATGTTCTTTAAACTTTATAAAGTACTTTGCAATTGGTTTCATAAGTCAGTTTACTTTGTACTAAAGTGCATGTAATCAAGTACTTGATTACACCAAAGTAAAATCACAATGGTATCTTAACAGACCAGTCAGTGTGTGAAAAACTGACCTTTAAGCTTCATTACACCAACAATTATGATGGTTCTGTGTGTACGTTACTGCATGTTGGTTTTGCATGTGATTCTAGAATATTTATACTGCATGTGTGAATTGTCACATTGTGGTATATCTTATCGGAATCACAAAACTATTTTATAAATAATATGAATAACATTTAATACAATATGTGTGGAAACCAATTTAACTAGATTGTATGAGCTCACTGTATGGATTATATTATATGACAAGGGCACAGTATGAGGCAATTTATTAACTCTAATTTATTAATTGAAAAAAGTCCTCAAACAAAATGCTTGTTTACAGTACCAAGCCCCTAAGATTCTATCAGAATATGATTAGCAGTCGAAAATGTAATGACTAAAGTAATCAGTATTTCTCAAAAACAAAACCACCATGTTATGGTTATTTCCCAAAGGAATCCTTTGTGTGCCTCCAAGAAATCCATTGTTTATTTACTTTTACCCCTGAGTCTCTGCAGTAATAAATAATTCAGAACTAGCAGAAACATAATTATAGCTAAAGCATCCCAGTAATGATGTGAACCAGTGATGGTGTAATATAAAGTAAAGAGTACTGAAACAGAATGTAGAACTCTAATTTGAGGAAATTTTAAACACGTTGGTCTGAGTGACAAGGCGCTAGTGAGCTGCATCTGAAACTACACGTGCACGAATGGAGAAAAATATGACATGAGACAGCAAAAAGAAAGAGTGCGCCAGAATTATTACACAAATGCACAAAATGCATGGCAGAGAAGGAAGCTCTGAGCTTGAATGTGCTTTAGATTGAAAACTTTGCATGGCGAGTGGGCAAAGTTTCAGAGGGAGGTTAGAGATACTGATATAACAGCCAGCAATACATACACTCACCCCTCGTGAGTGACGGTGGCCTTGTACCTGATTGGACTGTTTAACAGATGAAGGCTTGCAATTCCCCCCCTCCTGAACAGACTGGCCAGAAAAACACAGAGAAGAGTTCTTCTTCATGTTTCAGCTTCAATTTTTTATATCAGGAGCTTAAAAGTCTAAACCTTGCAATGCGTTGACTAGAACATTCTGTCTGAGAGTTGCTTCAAACTGTAGCAGTTGTACATTCTGACCCAAGCTTACTGCAGAACTAATCAAGCAATGTACAGTGTGTAGTGTTCTATGTAAAAGGTTAACTACTACAGAATCGTAGATGTAAACCCATGTGGCTGTCTTACTCCTTATGTTGACAATATGTCTATGGAACTAATGCTGCAATGTTCTAAACCACTTAAGAGAGCTTGCAGAGAGAGAGATGTTCCAGATAGCTCACTTATGTTTGTGTTCTTTTCCTAAAATCAGAATGTTTGTAAAAAAAAATGGCTTTCATGCATCATATTTATGTAATTTATCCATTTCAAAAATATGAGAAAAAAAAATAAAACATTGGCCTTTTTCCTGTGTCGTATGGTGGTGGGGGGGGGCAGCAATTAAGAGTAACTGTAGCTGGTAAAGTTTGCAGAGTTTGTAATTCTAAGTATTTTTAATAAAGAAACCAGATGATTGCAAAAACCTATTATCAAAGGGTTTTAATCAGAATTATTTAATTGGTAATTTTTTGTGGGATCTTGTTTTGCTTTCAGTTCTAAAATGTGTTTATTTCATTGAAAACATTTTTTATTTTTGGGCTGAAGAATGATAAGCATTATTAACGAGAAATGTGGAGATTTTCTCAGCTAAACTTATTTCTTTGATGTCAAGCCATCTGGGTGTACAACTAAAAGTATACTAACTGAATAACTCAATCTGATTTCAATACTAAGAGCCTTGTTCTTTCTTGATGGCATTTTGTGTAACTCTATCCATAAGGCCATACAATCTGTGGGTAATCTGTTTTGTCTTGAGTTAATTCTCTTCTTTCAACAAAGATAGCCTTTCTGAAATTACAGCTATAGCTCATAGCCGGAACTATGCGGTGAATGTGTAACTGAGATGCTGAGACAATGTGCAGACCCTATAAACTAGACACTAGAAACAGGTATTTGTTTGTAACAGTTTCACAATGACAGTAATAAATCATAATGACTCTTACCTTGTTGCCGTCATATTTGGTGCGGTCGTTGTTGGCTTTCTCTGCCTTTTCAGCCAACTTTTTCTGCATCTGTGGGCCTCGGCCAAAGAAGATGTAGTTGACGAAGGCATACTCCAGCAGGGCCAAGAAGACGAAGACGAAGCAGCCCATCAGGTACATGTCAATGGCTTTGACGTATGGGATCTTGGGCAACGTTTCTCTCAGATGGGTGTTGATGGTAGTCATGGTCAGCACGGTTGTGATACCTATGGAATAATACAGATATGACATACATGATAGATATCTATGATGGATATGAACTCCATGGCAAAAAATAATATGTATGGCAAAAAGCTGCTATTTCTGTCATGTAATCTATTATTTAATAATGTGACTTCTCAATGCTGCTGTCACATGTAGTTAGCACAATTTAAAGTGAGTTGTCTTTAACTGTTACTTTGATGAGGCAAATCAACAAGGACAAATACTGTCATTAGCAAGGTTTCCATCGAACTGTCAAATTAAATTCAAGCGAGTAACTGAAACGTCCCAAAAACGTTATGCAAATAAGGCTGAGTTTCCATTAGCTTTGTGTAAGAAATGAAACTCTCTATGACACGTTCATAAAAACACTTCTGAGAAATATAAAGTTTACAGAGAAATCTTTAATGTTGGGCAACTTCGCTGTTTCATTTAATTTTATGGACATATCTTAGGAGTGCAAAGACAAAATGCACTGATGTAATAAAATAGCTCAAGATGAGCTGTGTTTTTTAGCAACAGAAAATCACCTGATCAGTATTTTTTTTTTTTGCATTCAGCAACTGTTTTTTCCATCTTACTTTATCATATTTCTTTTTTTAACCCAGTTATTGATGTGAAGCGCCGCTCTTTTGAAGCACCAAAAGCTATTTTTGTTAGCACCCCCTTGTGGAGAATCTTCAGCCTGTGAAACATGAGTGAGTGAATGTGTGACTGAGTGAGTTGCAAGCCAGGACCATGAGGTGCTTTGAATCCAAAAATAAGCCCTTAATGATTTGAATTCTGTTCTAAAGCTGTGCCCATAGTAGTCATTCTCGGTTGAACGAACCCCCCCAACCCTTGCAAGAAAATAAAATTGTAAAAAAGAAATCAAAACAAAACAAAACAAACAAACAAGCAAAAAAACCATAAAAAAGCCTTCTGTCATGAGTTGCCATGGTTACAATTACCGTGCAGTCTCAAACATGCAGATCAGGCAGAAAAGTGGAGTTTTTATAGCTTTTAGCTCCATTTGAATATTTTTTTTTTTTTAATTATCATCAAGTCACATATCTTTAGGATTATTTTTGATAAGAAAGTTTTTGATATTTACAGTTGAATTGCCTTTTATAAGCTGGCTGCAAAAAACAGACAGAAAAGATGCAATCTGCTTTGTTTCCTGTGTCTGGATAATAATAAATATAACAATAATGCTAATAATGCTTTACTGCAGAGCTAAATATGATTGTTGGCTGTATCAAGTGTTTGAATATTACATTGTGACTGTCTGTAACAGGGAATTTATCATGATTAAGTCTGTTCCTGGTTCTTGCAACAAAGAAAATGAACTTGAATATAATCTACATTAAGTTTGTATGATTAAAATCATCAAATTACATACAGAATACCACAATACTAGAAAAACTTTGTCTATAATTGTATTTTCATATATATTTTCCTGATATGGACTCTTCCAGACCTGCCCACACAAATTGCCCTTTTTTGAAACACCTCTACCCTCGCCAAAGTCTGTGCACACCACTGCATTACAGAGATAGAAAACATAGTTACACACAGAAAGCTCTAATTCCACAGGCTCAGACATTTCACTACGATACTATGGTGGACATGCACTGACTGTGAATTATATTTAGTTAAACAGAAAACGTCTTTAAATGCGTCGCCACAGACATAATAGGAAACAGTTAACATGCAACCAGTTCAGAAGCATCAGAGCAATGTAGTACTCTGGGCCCCATGGACAGTATATTTGGAGTACAGTGCCAGTAGTATTAAGAATCCATTCTTTAGCCAGCATACAGCTTTCCCAATCAGGTGTTTCACAAAGTCATGGATCAACCACAGCAGACGTGACACTTACTGAACAGCAAGTCTTTAGCCATCTGTAATCTTTAGTGGGCTTCAGAGAAACACAAAAGAATTATTGTCCTGGTGCAACCAAAATAACCAATGAAACACAGTTTGGAAATAAGACGTGTATCAGGCCGTATACATAGAAAGAACACCATGACACTGAGATTATTCAGAGGCTGAGCCAAAAGAAGTGTGATGAAATCCTTCTCTTTTGACAGCTCTGCTCTGCCGCCCACCATGAATCTGGACTCTGTGGATGGGTGCTACAGATTGAGCTCTGTCAGAGTGCAAATGCCAAAAATGAGCTCTGCTTACTAAACCCAATTACACAATCACACTCTCAAATCTCACAGTGAATCATCCACTTGTGATGGCAGCGTATGCATTGTAAAAACTCTCTCCTGTTCATTACATTCTCATGATTTAAGTTCCTTCCTATATGGCTGCTCAAAGGTAGTGCACCCTCTTTCATAACTGATGGCTACCACATGTTTAAAGTGTCTCTTCAAAGCCAGCAAACAAGGATTCAGTGACATGATATGCAGCTCTGAAAAATGAAGCCTGACTGTAGCCAAATCAGAGACATAAGAACTGAAACCAGAGATATGCATGTATCAACAATGCATATAAAACAGCATAGATGATCAACATACTTGGCAGCAATCTAAGGAGAAAACTTGATGGTGATGGTGATTTCTTTTGCATCTTTTTTCTTTTTCTTGTTCTACTGCTTGTTATCCTCTTCGTAATGATGTGCACATAACGATATTCATTTTTCATGGCCATGAGTATCTTGCAGACTTCACTACATGATTTGAACACTGGATGCAGATTTTCTTTTCACATTCGTGTACATTGTGCTTGTGCATTATGTTAGTCTATTCTGTATACTTAGCGAGTCTACTTGGCAGAAAATATAATTGTTTTTTTATTATCCTCAGACAAACATGACTGATAACTAACAATGGATTATGTTTAGCTATGAAGATCTCTTAATGTTGCTAGCGACAAGAAGACTTTTACCAAGTCAAATCTGACACAAAACATACAAGATATATCAACTATAAATATTTAACCATAAGAATTTTAAAACTGTAAGAATCCTTATACTCTCTATGTAGAGTTTAGTTACAGCAGGGTGCTGGAGCTATTTGCCTTGATCTGGTTCTGGCTGCTTGATAGCCTGTCATATCTAACAGCAGTACCCTCTTATGCTATGTTCAGATTGACAGCTCAAATCAGATTTTTGGCTTATCCATATTGTATCCAGACTGATTTTTGATAGTCTGGACAGCCCCATTGAGATATAAATCCGATTTGCCCGCAATCTGAACATAGACTTAATTTTGCAAATGGGAACCAGCAGCATGGTGTAATGTGCTTGTCTCAAGCACATTTACTTTCACACACTGCCACTCTGGTCCTGTCAGTGAAGTGTCCCTAAATCCTACTTGAATGTACTTTAAGAAAACCTGCACTGATCGGAGTCTACAGGCCTAAATGTTCTATGAAATGTCTTAGCATGTAGATACGTACAGACTTCAATATATAATATTCCACTTCTGAAGAATGTTGCATTAAAACAAGATGTAATCTTTAGAAATCTGCAGGTGTTACTGTTATGCTATAAATTCATTTTGCTGCAAATTCGATTAACATTTAGAAAGTATAATTACAAACTGTACTGTGCAAAAGTCAGAGGCTATCAGTAATTTATTTGATTTGGCCATTAAGCATAAGTTATTAATTGTTCAGGAAAATATGTTTAAGGGGATTATATATAAGATAATCCACTTATGTAAGGAAGGAGAATGTTAAAAGAAAATAAGGATTAAGGATGAAAAAAACAGGATTCAAATCAGCCGCAAAAGGCCTAGTAGACCACCAAAACTGCTGCCATCAGATAAATAGTATGTTAAGCTTTTATCTTTCTGAGGTAGATGTTCTGGTGTCACCCCAGAGTCCAGACATCAACATCATTGGATGTGTTTGGAATTACTTGGATCATGAGAAGCAAAAAAAGCAACCAACTTCTGAGACTGAACTTTAGAGCTGTGGCAAAATCTCCCTGAAAATTTCTTTGAAAAACAAAGTCTCCTGAAAAGAACAGAACCTGTAATAAAGGCAAACAGTGGACACACTAAATATTAAATAAACAGGTATTATATTTATTTGTCAAGGCTTCTAATTAATCTTCTACTAAATGTATGATTTCTGCTTTTTTTTCCCCTGACACCTTCTACTGAAAGGCTATTTTGACTGAAAATTAAATAAATGAAGGGTGGTCTCTGACACAGTACTGTAGTTGAAAGCACTTCCATAAGAATATTTTCTCTTGTTTCAGTGAGCTTATGAATGAAAAATAAATCACAAAAATAAAATGCTTTTGTTACGCCAGGGATGACTAATTCTAAAGATTAACATGATTATAAGAGACATTTAGCTATACGCTACAATGACAAGTTCAAACACTCTCAAGTAAAAGTGACGGAAAATAAGAAGAAGCAAGATAAAATGTCAGGGAAAGACATATAAAACATATGGGAGTACAAACACTATGCTCTTTCATTGACTAATGACAGACCATTTATGTGTTTTATATGTCTTTATATGTCTTACCATTCAAAAATTCATACTAACATAACTACAACATCTATTTCAGCTACCTCCATTAGTCTGTTCTATATTTTATGATCACGCAATGCTCTGTTCTTGTGTTATTAATATCACTTAACACAGTGACACAATGTCCTCCACAGCATTATGTTCAATATTTCACTCCCGGTTTCTGGCCAGTAGTCTACTTATTTAGTATCTCTACTCTTCAGTAAATCACGTCCTGACATTAGGCAGCTTGTGTGTGGAGCAGGGTAATGAGGGAGGATGGAGCTCACGGTGCTCTCGGCCTGAGTTCTCCCTCAGTCACAGGGCCAGCAGAAAACACTTAAACCTCCCTTTACGAGACGCAGGCTGTGCAGGTACCAGACTGGACCATGACACTAAAGCTGTGGAGGAAGAGGAGTGACCTCTTCATAAACATGAACACAGATCAGAATTTGCTTCAGTCTGTTTACATGGAGACACCACCATCTTGGAACTGAGGACTGACTGAGCACACAGTAGGCAAAGGCATTTGAGGCAAAACTGTTAT